ACTATTTTTCTGATTATATATATATATATATATATATATATATATATATATATATATATATATATATATATATATATATATATATATATATATATATATATATATATATATACATATATATATACATACAAACATTATCGTTGTAATATATAAGTATTAAAAATCTTTGAATAAAAAATATTTTGATGGCTCTCTCAAGACCCTTGTGAACTTGTTAAATTCCTTTGAGACCCCAAGGAACATAACAAGTTCCTAATATTATAAAAAAATTATTTAAGTGTCTCAAATGAAGCAAAATTATATGAAAATTATATGTTAGATATAATACCATAAAAAAAGAAGTTTATTAACTAAAAAAGAAAAATGTTCATTTTTACTAATTTTTGGAAATATTTTTTTTTAATAATTTTTTTATAATATAATTACCAAATTTGAAATTATCATGATTTCGCTTAATTTGAGACGAAATGTAAAGATACACTTTTGAAGATTTTTTCTTATTGATAATATTAGGAATCCGTTATATGTTTAAGGACTCCAAAAATATTTTTTCTTCAAAATATTTTTAAAACCAGTGTTTTTTTATCATATAAAACACATTAGGAGGCACCTATATTTTTAAAAAACATTGTTTTTTGGGACGAATTTATAAGTATGAAGTATTTATCATCAAAACGCAACGTGAACAATTTTATTTTTATGCTCTAACTAAAATAAAAAATATTAGGTGACTTTAATAAAATTAATAATAAATAATAACATGTAACTAAATAAATTAAAAAAAAATATCTTTATAATAAATAAGCTGATAATAATACAGTACTTACGGTTTCAATCATATGTTGAATTAAATAATATTGGAAAAACCATATAAAATCAAAATTGCTTATATTGTATTTTGATAATAAACTCTTTTTATGTTACTTTTACCTGCAGTACCAGAAATCAGCTAAATTACTAATATTTGTTTTTTACATATACAGTATCGGACAAAACAAGTGCAACCAAATAATACTAATTTAGTTTTTTTATATAAAAGTGCTTCATTTTTCCAATTTAGAGAAATAACTATGTAACTGTTGAGAGACAATGTTCTTCAAGTTTTATTCATCACAAAGTTCATTATTTGTACATGAAAATTAATAAATTAATCAAAAGTATTTTAAAAAGTTGATTTCCTTCTGGACAAAACAGGTGCAACTCCACAAAATGTTGACCAAGCTGTATTTCGCTATCAATATTTCGTGGCGAACCCTTTGTTGTCGATCACAGCCTTGCATCTTCGAGGCATAGATTCGATCAGGTGATCAATGAAACTTTGTGGAATCGCTGCCCAGGCCTTTAGGATTTGTTCAAACAGTTGATCTTTATTACGAACACCATTACGATTAATTCTGGGGTTGACGATCTCCCACAGGTTCTCGATAGGTTTGAGATCCGGAGATTGAGGCGGCCAATCCATCACCGATAGGGGTTGTCTTGAAAGCACTGCTTGACTACCTTTGCAATGTGTTTCGGATCGTGTCTTGCTGAAAAATCCATTTTATTAGCATATTCCATTCAGCATGAAGTAACATAACATCTTTCAAGATATTTTTATACATGAAACGGTCCATTATTCCATCGTTTCGATGTATTGGAGCTAGATCGTTAGCAGAAAAACACCCCCAGACTATTACATTGCCTCCACCATGCTTCACGGTCTTATGGCAGTAACGTAAATCGAGGCGTATTCCGGCCGGTCGACGTACACGGCAAATGCTATCGCTCCCAATTGTGGATTAAATAGGTAACCTTAATTTAATCTAAATTAAAAACCAATAGAATAATTTATTTTTAAACCAAAATAATAACTTAACTATAACCAATAGAACTACTATATACATCTACACCTTAATTTATTAAAAAAAAGAAAAAGCACAGCATTTGGAAAGATGCCATCTTATTGATATTTTTTTACAGGTAATATTTACAAAAACTAATAGAAATAAATTTAAAAGATAAGATATTCAAAATTTTTATATTTTGAATATCTTATCTTTCTTATGAAGGTTATATGAAAATATCTTGAAATGATATAAATAAAATCCAAGTCTAAAAAATTATAATTTTTGAAATTGAGATATAATCAAAATGCAAAAGGATTTTCAGAAATAAAATAAAATCAAAAAATTTGTTGCTTGTACATTCTTTTTGATGTTTGTCAGCACATTTTTTTAAAAAGCCATACAACTGAGCAATCTTGCAAGTCATTACATCTCTAATACCTATTATACTTTTAATACTTCTATGATCCTTGGATCATAGAAGTATTAAAAGGACTCAGTCTTTTTAATACTTCTATGATTCTCATACAGTCATTTGTATGAAAAATCATATAAAACATTTAAATCTGTAAAAATAGAAAACTTGTGAACACTTTAGTTCATTACTTATTTAATGTAACAAATAGCTGTTTGAATATACTAATTATAAATCCTAAAATACTTTTTTGTAGCTGTTTATACATTTTATTCACAGTAGCACCAGTCTTTACATTACTGGAGGTCTTTTAATAATAAAACTGTTGTAATCAATAATAAAGATGTTTATCGACTTAATATTAACTTATTAAGTTAATAATATGTAACCAAGTAAGATATTTATCCTTCATAAAAATACTTAATGAAGTTACAATACAAGTATACAAAAAAAATGCAGAATAAAATCCAGACAAATTTAAAATTTAATGAACATAACTTTGAAATTCATAAATACGAAGTAAAACAGAAAACAAAACAAAAATATAAAAGTAAAAATAATAACTATTATAATAAACAATTATGAAGATCTAATAATAAAAAGATAAAATTTGGAACTTCAAAAACTTTCAAGCTATTTTTTTTCTTTTCACAAAGCCTGCTTACCTCAGCCAAATAAAATAAAAAATAATATTTAGTGTGTTTAAATATTCTAATAACACAATAATGTAGAATAAACATAAACTTACTTCATAAAATATTTTGAATGTGCTTCTCAATTAAACACGGACAACACTGATGTGTAGCCAGTCACACGTTACAAGTTAAGATTTTTGTAAACATTTTTTCATACTGTTTAATATATATATATATTTATACCTAATAATAAATATTATTTTTATCAAATATATTTTATCAAATATAAAATTAATTTTTTTTTTTTTTAATGTCAAGCGACAAATAAATAAAAATTGTATAACATTTACATTTAACATTCAAGATAAAATCTTAAAAATAGTTTGTTGTTTTTTAATCAAATAATAAATAAATATTTTTTTAAAATGGCTGCCAGTTTACTGAAAATTAGTTTAAAAGTCACATCAACTCATACTTATTTTTTACTTCATTATTAAAAAAATTCAATAAATGGTTCTTAGTGTGTTAGGTCCATATTTAGTTAGAGATTTTAAAGTTAAGTCATTATTTTAGGTTTTAAGAGTTTTTAAAAATCAAAAATTTTTACAAGAAAAAAAATACATATCTCAAGATATATTTATTAACTTTCAAAATTTCTAGCTAAAAAGAAAGATGTTAATGCAAGTATCAATTTCAAATGTAAAACTGTGTATATAGAAAACAAAGTGGTTTACTGAGCATCTTTTTGTAGACTTATTATGATTAAAATAATACGAAGAATGAGTAAAAATACATTTATTCTTCCATGAACAAAAAATATAACTCCTATTTCAACATATTAACACATTAAAACATTCAATTTTTGACCAATTAAAGCATGAAGCATGATCCTTGGTTACTTAACTGCATATTTTACTGTAGACTGAACCAAACATAATAATATTCCACGACATTTAATTTTAATAGTCGCGCGAACAATTCGCGCTGAAAGATTTTTTGGACAAAAATTAACGCTGTGGTAAAATATATAAAAAATATAAATAATACAAATATACACATATATATATATATATATATATATATATATATATATATATATATATATATATATATACATATATATATATATATATATATATATATATATATATGTGTGTGTGTGTGTATATATATATATATATATATATATATATATATATATATATATATATATATATATATATATATATGTATATATATATATGTGTGTATATATATATATATATGTATATATATATGTGTGTGTGTATATATATATGTATATATATATATATATATATATATATACATATATATATATATATTTAAAATTATTGAAATCCTACAGTCAGATTTTAAGAAAATTGATTTCAAATAAACAAACAAATTTACGAGTTACACTAAAAAGTTGTTAATTGAAAATAAAGTTTAAGTACTCTAAGATATTTTTTATCCTGTTTTTATTTATATTTTTGTGAAATTTTTGTAATAATATACTGATCTACATTAAAAATAAGGCTACAACATTAAGTTTTCAAAAATAAAACAAAAAATGGACGAGTGCCATATAAAATGTACTCTATAGTTAAGAATCGTAGCCATTTTAAAAGTTCGTAAGTTTTTCGCATTTTCTACCGCATGCGTACTTAAACATAGCGCTTGTAACCGACTGTGCACAAACCGACGTTATGCGCAAACATTTTAATTTTGGCTTTACTTTAAGATTATCATTATTTAGCTAAGGTTGCATCTATAGTTTTTAGAGGTCAAACACCTATAGTTTTAATGGCTGCTGTAATAGCAGTGTACGCAGTTTCCAATTGTTTTTTAGAGTTGATTTTAGCGACTGACGCTTTCTGGTGCAGCTTACGTAAATTAAGTTCATGAAGGTGTCCGCTCTCTGATCTAGCTGACGTAGCCTATTTTATGTGTCTAAACACCGAGTTTTTAAGCTTTTCTATTATATGCAAATGGTGTTATATTGAATTGTGAACGCATCCAAGTTCGCTTGCGAAGCGCATAGTAAATTTTGAGTCGCTTTTGATTTGGTTGATTTTTATTAGATTGATCATTTTTAACGCTCTGTAGCCCAACTCAAACAAAATATTTCTTTTTTAAAAAATTACTTAAAAAATTTGAAAATATATACACAAGCTAATAAACATTAATATACAATTAAGACAGAACGCAATAAATGTAAATGTGTGTTGTTAATTAAAACACAATAGAGATGAAAAGTCTAGGATAGTTGAGAATATCCTTAAATTTAAAATTTTTTTGGTTAAGAGACTTCGTTTATTTTAAATGCGTCGTTGAAAAAATTCAAATCTCTTCTGTCAACAGCAGATAAAAGATCTTTTCGTCCTAGAAGTGACGAAGTCATTCTAAGCGTAGACCAAATATTTTCTGACATTGTGCTAGCTGTACGGGTTGGATCTTCATTCTAAATAAAAATAGCAAGTAACATACTTATATATAATTGAAAATCAAGTATTGTTATTATAAAGGAAAAACTTGAGCTGGATAAATTCAAGTGCACAATAAATAAAATTTTTATATTTTAAACACTGTGAAATATTTAAAGCACCACTCACCTTTTTTTGCATATTTAAAGCTACGAGAAAATGTTCGATTGCTTGAGGGTAAGCTTTTAAATTTACACAACTTATACCTAAATTATAACGACAACGAATAAATCCAGGTCTTAATTCTAAAGCATTGCGATAAGCTTCGATTGCTTCGTCGCTTCTGCCACTATTTGCTAAAGTTGCGCCAAGTTTGTTCCACAAGTTAGCTGAATCAGGTCTTGCAAGAATGCCTGTGTTGAAACAATCAATCGCTTTGACATAATCACCTACAATATTGTACAAAACACCAAGACCGATCTGAAAAGTAATAAAAAAATAAATTGAAAAAATATATTTTCAATACACGACAGATCTTAGGCAAAAGATAAAAATTTGATCTGACGAGTTCTTATATAAAAATTTTAATCCTTGTATTTATAAAAAATAACTTTAAATTTTACCTGAATATCAGCATCTATATTTCCTTCCGGTGAGATTCTCGCAGCTGCTAAAAATAAATTCTCAATTTCCTTTACAACAGAGGATGAAACAATCGATGTCACATTTAAATCATTACGCGTTTCAGAAACAAGATGGCTGTACCTAAATGAAGAGCGTTTAAGTAACAATATGGCCTACAAATTATTAATGTAAAACAACAAATGTAAAACAATGTAAAACTACAGTATTAATGTAAAAAAACAAACATGAATACTAAATACTAACAACAATATTAGATACGAAATATCACATTGATAAATCAATAAACAAGTTTTACCTAGGATTATAGTGTATCCAGGCTTTTAACGTGTTGCAGGCCTTAAAAAAACAATGAAAATTTTTACTTTTTATTAGATATATTATATTGAACAAAACATTTAACTAGATATAAATATTTTACGGTGTATGTAAAATCTTAATCAGCCAATTTTAATATCATCATACCGGTCGTAAAATGTAATTATGTTATAAGCATATCATTATGTCATCATATTGAAATTTCATATGAAATTTTATGATTATTTTTTGACAAAAACATAAACGATTTAAAACTTTAAGATTTTAAAACCACCTGAGTCTGCATACACTCGTTGGTGTAACTAACAGCAAGTGCCATTCTTGCTTCAAGATTTTCCGGATTCAAATCTAAACATCTTGAAAAAAATCATATTAATGTTAAACTTTTTATTTTTATTTTTTACAAGCGTAAATATATATTTTTATAAACTATATATTAAATATGTATTTTTTAATAAATTTTAAACCCTAAATATATATTTTTTTACATGTGTTATTTTAGTTGTAGTAGTAAATGTTTTAAAGAAAAAAGAAAAAAAAATTAAGCTCAATTGCTAAGAAAGGAATGAACAATAATTACAACCAATCCAAAAGATGGTGTCTAAAGTAAAGTTTGTAGCTGGTCAATGGGGGTTAGTTTTTATTTACTATATTATTGATCAGGGTTTAGTGCTTAATCGATACATAACTGTTTTGAAAATTTGCCAAAAAGTTTTGATTGAACGCTTCTATTAATATTACTATTAATACTACTATAATTTTTTGTTTTTAGATGACATTTTAATCCACAATAGAAGCAAGTGTTAAAAGAACCAGGATTTAAACAATAAATTGTCAGAAAATTGAAGAGGATCAGGTATACAAGGATAGAAACAAATACAATTATGGAAAATCGATGATAATGAGATTTGGAAAAAATAGCTAACAAAAAAAAATTAAGAGTATAAACACTTTGGTGGATTGGAACATTTTAATATGATTGCAAAATTAGATATAATTGCAACTTAAATAGTAGTAGTAGCCAAGTTAAATGTGCAATCAAATGTTGAAAATGTACAGAGGATTAGAAACATGATAAATATGGAATTGGAATAAAGAAAATGGATCAGCATTAAATTAATCAATGTATTTTGAAGATATTATTAGAAAAGAAGGTTTCATGAGGAAATTCTTTTATGAGGAAAAATTGTTCTTCAGTAAGAAATGATGAAATTAAATAGGTATACATTTTAAAAAAATCAATTGTTTCTTCTAACATTTTAGTAGTTGTCTCATCTAACATTTTAGTAGTTGTCTCTTCTAACATTTTCATACTTGAAAATGATAGCTAGAATGAAAATGTTCTTGACAATTAGTATTTGTACAATTGTTAATAATTAGTAATAATTATTAATAATTGATAATTAGTAAATGTTTTTAAAGTTATGTTGGAAATGCTTTAAAATTTTATACAGCAAAATTTAAAGAACATCAATATTTATATAAATATTATATTATAATATTTAATATTATACAATATTAGCTAGGCTAATGATAAATAAATGATAGCTAAAATAAAGATTAATTAGACAATAGATTTGAAGATTATTATGAAGATTTAAACTTTAGGAGATCTTAAACTAAGAATGTAAAGAAAATAAAAATATAAATTAAAAATATAAATAAAAAATTTACTCAATTTAAAATAATGAGCCAAAAAAACACATATATATGTATATACAAATAAATACTTTTTTAAAGCACATATAGCCAACATTTCTTGTTCATTTTCTGCTTGGCTAGTTCCAAGATATTTCCATGCCTAACCAACAAAAAATAAAAACAAAAAATCATCTTCTTATTAATTGTTCTTTTAACTCTTATCATTTAAACATTTTCTTACTTTTTTTAAATAACAATTGCACACATACACGTATATACTCTTTTGCATGGTAATTAAAAGGTTTACATGCTATTTTATTTTAAACTAAACACTAAAAAGCTAGATCAGAACAAAATAAATAAATTTATTTTCTTTCAAAAAGATTGCCTGCCTAAATTAAAACCTTTAGTCTATGTATTAATGTAGGGGAGAGTAGGGCTAGTTGCAACACATTTTACTAAATAATGTTTATTTCCTTCAATTAAAAAAAAAAATTTAAAGGGTAATAAAATACATCTTAGTGATGTATTAATTCAACATCGATAAATATAATAAACAAAACCTATTATCTAATAACAAATTATATAATAAATAACAAATGAAAAAAAAATGTTACAACTTACCCCGCTCTGCAAGTTGCAACAGTGAATAGGGCAACTTGCAACACAATAATTAAAAAGTATAAATTTTGCAGAGAACTCAAAAAAGTTATTAGCCACAATAACTTATACTATTTCAAATAAAAAAGGTAAACAAGGTAATAATATTAATAGTAATATACGATAACAAAATAAATACAAACTATAGTAATTGTAATAATAAGTATGTTTACAATAATTATGAAAAATAGATAAATTTTATAATGATAGTTATAAGCATAAATTTATTTATAATAATAAGTAAATGATTTATTAGGTGTCATTCATACAGAAATCAGATCAAAAGAGTGACACCAATTTTTAAATATAATATAAGTAATGACATAATAAAGATATTAATTGGAAAACATGAAACATAAACACATAGATTAAAGCATATAGAACATACATTATAAATAAACATGTAAAAATCATAACTCGCAATATATAAGAAAAAAAAAAAAAAAAGTACTGATGATGATTGTAGTAATAACGAATAGAAAAGAAAAGGAATATTTTAATGTCTAAAAGTTAAAATAAAATATTTCTCAGAATTTTTTAAAATTGATTTTGCTTCAGATGGAGAAACGGTATTTTAATGCATACAAGGCACCAGTTCTATTCACAGATGCAGTGATAAAGTTTTTGATACTTGTTTTAAGTGGGGGATAGAGATTTATGTTGTTTCAGTAGTACACGTTTGGAAACATGAGTTACTATTATTGGACTTTATAACATCATCCCAGTCAATTTTCGATAAATCAGATTTAAAGTTTTCTTTATTGAAGTTTTTAAAACTCCTGCTATATAAATTGTGTCTGCATGATATAAATAATTAATTAAATTGGGACAAATTTGAGGCAAGTGATCAGAAACAGAAGTTTCTAAATTTCTTGAAATAATTTCATTAGTTATTAAATTAGAGAAAATATTATCAATAATTGTAGCAGAATGATCCTAGTCGGGAAAGTAATAAAAGGGCAAATGTGTGTGTGTGCTCAATGTATTAATTATCAATGAGAGTCGTATTAACTGAGGCTGTTCTTTTTTTTAACCTTGTTTCAGTTATACCAAAAAATGGAAAAATCAAAATTAATTAATGATAGTATTATGTTTAAATTGTTTAAAGTGTTTTTGTAACGATGATATATTTAGACATAATTTGTAAATATCATGATATTCACTTGATATTCATCATAATATTCAAACTATGTCTAATAAAGAAGAAATCTCTTCATTGGAATTTGAAACAAGATGAAACATAATTATTAATTTGATTAAAGACTTTATTTTAATGAAAAGACGGAAAAAGGTTTATAGAAGTTTTTTCATCAGTTTTAAGAATTTTATCAGAGTAAATAGCAATTTAAATTCGTTATCTGGTACATCTGTAAATGGAAAGATACTTTTAGTACAGTTTACACAAGAAAAACATCAAAAATATCTGTAGAATGTTTGAAGTATTTTCTTTGATCTATAATACTTTTATCATGTGAAATTTCATAGAGGCCTGATATATTTGCTCAATTTATGATTACGTTACATTGTGAATAATTTTTGTAAACAAACTTCATCTATTATTATAATAAAAACATTATTTTAGAAAAGTGTTAAAATACCAATTTATACTATGGCATATGATGCAACTTACCTCATAGTCATACCAATAAATGACTCTAATTACTCTAGTATGCTTAATAAAAAGAGGGTGGGAACAAAAGAGATGTAAGAATTTTAGTCCAGATCTAATAAACAGGGGTGGGGTTTAATAAAAGGGTGAGTTGGAACTTTTAACAGAACACTCTTAAAACAATTTAATTTTAGTGTGGCTTGTGGACAGATGTGTTTTAATAGCTGTTTTGTCATAATTAAAATAAAATTTAAGTTGAATAAAATTTAAATTAAATAAAATTTAAGCTGATATAAGTTATATATTATGGTGAGATGTACACAAAAACCTAATTTTTGACAAATCGAGATTTACGCGATTAACAGTTTTTAAAGCCTGATTGAAAGTTGATCAGTGACTGATATTCATATATACTTTATTAATTTTGAGTTTTTTTTGTTGATAATAAGTAAAAACTAACAAATTTTAAAATTTAAAGTCCGAACAAATTGATTTTGAGATATTGAAGAAAAACTGATCCACGTGTATTTTGTGCTTAAAAAAAAATTTGTTGGTAAAAGTTACTTCAGCGCAATAATACAAATAAAGTAATCACATAGAAAAAAATGCAAATCAATAGGATCTTGAAATAAACCTGATTAAATTGTTGACTTTGCTTACTTTGATAATGTTAGATGGACTTGGATTATTTTGAAAAAGGTTAGTTTACAAAAAACTATATATGTATATATAAATATAAGCTTTATTGAATTCATACAAGGTTTGTTTTGTTTTAAAAAAGCATTAAAATAATTTTAAAGGAAAAGCTTTGATTTTCATAAATTATTGAAAAAAGTAATAGTATAAAATAATGGGAGCAAACAAAAACACTATGGTAAAAGTTGTAGTTTTTGTATTAAAAATGTTGACCAAAGAAGATGCTGTACAATGAATAAGTTAAACATGATTACAAGCAGCATTTTCTCCAAGACAATTGCATTTAGTATCCTCCCCATCTACTGGCTCTTTTTCTATAAAAGAGAAAATTTTATTTCTCTTTTAAATTCAATTAAATGATGGCTAAAATGAATCATTGTTTTATTTGCAGGTAAATCAAGAACACCTCAAATGTTAATTTTGTTAATAGAAAATAAAAATTAATAAACGGAGAAGGGGGGAAAGGGGTGTGTGGTTTTAAGAAGCTCGGATGGATGGAAAAAGTTTACAAAAATTAATCAAAGTCCCCCACGGCGTATTAGACACCTATAAGTAGATATAAAAAAATATATGGCTTGCGTTGATTAAAAGATTTATTACTTATAGTTTAGAATAAAATAATAAATATTACCTTTCTTAGTAAGATGGTTGTTTTCTTTTTCTCCAACAACTATAAAAATTTTTCTGATTTCAGTCATTTTTTATTAGGTTATAAATTTTAAATAATTTGATGCGCCAAGAAAAAAGTGCGCTAATAAGTAGTATAAGCAGACTTTATTAGTTGCTACATTAACATAACATCACTTATCACTCATCTGATTGGCTTCTGACTTAACAAGTTTTGAAGCTTTAACCCAGTTTGACCTAACATGTTTTGAAAACGTTTTGATATTTCCCATACTAGCTTTTCTGACTAAGCGCCTTTTAATAGAACTAATATTTAAATAGATGATAGATTTCAGTTTAAAGAATATAGAAATCAAACTAACTCAAAAAATGTGCACGTTTTGCAGATAGGCTTCTCAAATGTTCTCTCCCATGAATTAAGCATGTGAGAGTATTTACTTTGAATAATTCTATATTTTTTAGCTTTCTGTGTTTGAAAATTTTTTTTACCTCCAATTATTTTAGTATGTTTGAAAAATAATTTTTACCCTTCCATTGATTTAATTTGTTCATACAACTTTTAGTTTTCAGTAAAACCAAAAAAAAACTTTGAAAATGCAATTTAGAACTTTATATTGGAAAAGTCCAAAAAAATTTTATTTTGATAATATAACTTTTTTTAAAAAAAATTATATAATGTAAAAATATTATTTCAGTAACTTAAAAAACATTCTTAAAATGACACAGTTACAACTTATCCTTGTTGCAACAAGTCCATGTTATAGTCTCCCCTACACTTTTCTACATATACAGCTATATTAATCAATTTATAGACACTTCACATATATTGATTAATAAAAAATTTAAAAAATAAAGAAAATGAAAATGGTTTTGATACATTTAAAAGTCAAATTCTATCTGACATTTTTTTTACCATGGAAATCGCATTTGCTTACCATGCAAAGCTCTCTCTCTCTCTCTCTCTCTCTCTCTCTATATATATATATATATATATATATATATATATATATATATATATATATATATATATATATATACAGTCTTGGAAAAAAGTTTAAGACCACCACATATAAATGCTATACTTTGGTGCCTAAAATAAAATTCTATAACTTAGTGCTGCTTTTGATTTTAGCTGCTGTAGACATTATTTTAATGCATTTATTTTTTATTTTTGAACCGAAATAATTTTTGTACTGAAATAATTTTTTAATTAAATTTTCAGTTTTTCGCAAGTGGTCTTAAACTTTTTTCCAAGACTGTATGTATATATATACAGGGTTCCCACTATTAAAACTAAGGCTAAAATTAAGGATTTTAAGGAGATTTAAGAAGATATTTTCCTAATATTTAAGGAGATTTGGTAGCGAACAACATTTTTTTGAAAGAAAAAGTAAAGATAATTAAGGAGAAAACAATTACATTAAAAACATAATCTTACTTTTTCAATAAATTTTAAATATAAACACAAAAATTATTATTACTTTATATATATACATATATATATATATATATATATATATATATATATATATATATATATATATATATATATATATATATATATATATATATATATATATATATAAAATAGTGACACTAGTCTTTTTGATAACATAAAAAAGGTATATTTTGGGAGGTTTAAAGTTGGTTTAAATAATTTCATTTGCAACTGATTTTTTTTGAATAATATATGGATATTATGATTTAATAAAATCATATCGATCAAGTCCATGTATGCGGACATAAGTTTTAGGAAGAAGTTGAAATTGAAAAAAAAACTTTTATTTTATGCTAGTTTCAAACATAAATAACTTATGCAAATATACAATAATAAAAAAATATTATTTTTTCAAATTAAACTCTATACTATAAAATTTGTTTAAAAAAAATTTTATACATATGTGCATAAAGTTTTAAATTTATAAACAAATGAAAAAATGTTGCATTTTTGAAAGAAATTATTCATTGCTTTTTAATCGCTCTTGGATACGGCTATCAACTTTTCTTTCAAGAAAAATTATGAAACCTATATATTTTTGAATTTCTTGGACAATGTAAATATAATAAAAGTAACAAAAATTACAGACTTTTTTTTTTAATTTTTGCCAAAAATCAAGTTTTTCAGACCACTGTGCAACGCGAAAAAATAAATTTACTTAATGACATAATTCAATTTGTTAACAAAAAAGCGCAGAGATCTTTAATAAATGAATGTAGTTTTAACTTACGTTACACAAATTTAAAATAAAAATGTGCTTTAACTAAACATCGTTATGCAAAACTTTATATGTTAAAATGTAACATTTAATATTTTTTCGCATATATTATTAAAAAACTTAAGTTTTTTAACTAAATTTTAGAAAAAACAAAACTTTATCATGTTTATGTTAACTTATGTTACATGAAAATTGCAAAAGTTCTTTCGTTATTTTCTTGAAATATATATATTTTATTAAGTATAAAATCTGACCAACAACAATTTGAACATGTTAGCTCCATTTTCACGCTAAATTAATTCTGATTATGCAAATAAATTTATGGTTAAAATAACATTTTACAATGATACTTTTTTTATCATGCGACAATGAGAAAAACCGCAACTTTTGGAAGCATAAAAATGACTTAATTAATTTAATACTAAAGGCATATTTTAAATAAACTTTCATGTATCTACATCAATTATCATTTGCTAAAAGTTAACGAAAATGAGAATAAAGTTTAACTACTTTTTCATTTTCTGCAGTGGAATTGCGCATATATATATATATATATATATATATATATATATATATATATATATATATATATATATATATATATATATATATATATATATATATATATATATATATATATATATATATATATATATATATATATATATATATATATATATATACAACCCTCGGAATTAGGAAAATATATATATATATATACATATATATATATAAATATATATATATATATACATATATATATATATATATACACATATATATATATATACACACATATATATATATATATATATACACACACACACACATGTACATACATACATACATACATACATACATACATACATACATACATACATACATACATACATACATACATACATACATACATACATGACTAAGAATACTAAAAAATTAATAAAACTGCTCAACTGAATCCTAAATTGAAATAAAAAAAAAACATGTGACCAATAATTATTTATTTATTGATTATTTTACTCACATCAACATGACTTGGATTCACTTGGACCTAAAATAACAATTACAATTGGATAGAATCAAATTAAATACAATTCCTAGATAAATTACGTTGTGAATGGTGGACGCTTTTTTATAATGTAAAAATATTTAGAAAAGAAAAAGATTAAAAAAAAACAGTTATAAACTAGCTATCATAAGAGTTATCTAATAATTGTCTTTTTAAGCAAACAATTCTTTTAATTTAATAACAACCATTATTATAAAATGTTTATCATTAATTTGTTGAATATTTTCATTGACTTTTTTGTTGATGCTTTTTATATTTCAAAAGATTTATTTATTATTGCAATTTTTTTTTTAATAAAAGAACTTTAAATACATTAATGAGTTAATTTTTTGAATTCTTTTATATTAAACAACATTTTCATTAGACTTATATTTATTATAGTCATAATATAATAACAAAAAAAACAAAAACAAAACAAAAACAAATAAAACATACAGCCAATATATAAAAACAAAAACAATAAAAAAAAAACATAAAAATAACAACAACAACAAAAACATACAGCTTCTTCAAACAACAGTATTGCACTAATCAAATCGCCTTCATTTAACTTTGTTAAACCTTCTTCAAAGGAGTTTTTGATGCCTGCAAATGGATTCTTGGATTCAAAACGATAATCCTTTAAACAAAAACAAAAAATTATTGAAAAACTAAAATTTTATCTTAATATCAAAACAAATAAAGAATTAAAAAAACTTTAATTTAAAAACTTTTATTTAAAAATTAAATTTAACCAGGACATAAAAAAGTGGAATGAGTAGACAAGTGCAAATGTTGCAGTAAAAAAAGATTTTATGTTTTGTCTAGAGTTTAAATATGCAAAGTTTACAGTTAAACTATGTATTGCGGCCAAATTCATTTCCGACGTCTGATCTAGAAATTAATTTGCTTTAGAGAAAAAAGTAAAGATGGTAACTTTATTATTAGAAAAATTTGAATAAACATTACTGTTGCAGCTACTATTAGTTCCTAATTTACCATGACTAAAAATGTAAATAGTTTTTGTAAAGAGCAATGAGTTAAATGACTAAAAACATGTTTTAAATGATTAAAAGAAATAGAAAAAGAGTTTCATAGCAGTACTTTTAACAAATTGAAAAACAAAATGCAAATGTATTGACTTTATCCAAAGCTAAGAAATAAACTGAAGGCAATAGCAGAATAGACTATTGAATATTGTTATTGAATAGCAAACATGTATTTTCAATGCATTATCACTTAAAATACCTAAAATTTTAGTTGAATGGTAATCAGACAAGATGTTTCACCTATTAAAGTTAATAAAAATATTAACAGATAAAAACCATTAAAAAAAAGTAAAGGTTTCTAGAGTTTTTAACGCGAAGGGTTTAAAATAAACCATATAATTAATTATTTTTTTAATGATTGTTTACATAAACGCGTGTAAATTAATAAAAAATGTAGGCGTGTATTTTTCGTGATAAATTTAAACGTTTGAAACTATTTTCCCATGTCTTCCTAAAAATCTGTTAAAGCATTAATTTTAGAAAGATTTTTTTTTTAAGTTACTTTAATTTATGAATAAGTTCAAAACCTTTTGCGACTACTAGCTTTTACACATTTTATGTGAATTATACAAGAATATAAAATAACTTTACTTATATAAACATGTATTTTGTTGATTAATGGAAAAGTTTTAAAGCATTATGTTGTGTTCATACAATTAATTTTTATCCATTAAGTTGCTCTGACATCAAACAAAAACAATCGCATCGGCAGTCATGTTGAATGAGGTGATAATATTGCAAAAGAAAAGTGAAAATCCTTAAAGAATTTTTGATAATTAAGAATGTTATAAGAAAATCATTATGAAGACCTGCCAAAAAAATGATATAATTTTTATTCCAGTGAAGAAATATGTACTAATATTTGTTATAACGGCATAGTTTTTTTTTTTTTTTTTGGAATTAAAAATTGATTTGCAATTGGCTGTTGTTCAGTTAGGTTATGCGAGGTTGTACAAGAGATTTATAAAAGAGTTAAGAAAGATTGTTATAAAAATAAAAATTGTAACACGTAAAGCAGTTGTTATTAAAGCATTAAGAAAGCTTGTATCGAGTGAAGAAGTGAATATATATAGACCGAGAAGTGGTTAAGAATTAGTATTAAATATGCTAAAAACCTGTTCTGTTTAAAATTGTTTAAACAACAACATAATGTACGTAATGTAATGATTTATCTTAAGTAATGTAAAGATTTATCTTAATCACTACTTTACTTTTTTCAACTTTTAAATTTGAACTCTATACAACTTTTTTGCGTAAATTAATCACCAAACTGTTGTGATAAAGTATAGAATCTATACGTTTATAAGAATGCTGATATTTAGCAATAATAAAAAATAAACAACATAAATTCTAATAAAAGTTATCTGATAACTTTTATACAGAATTTATGTTGTTTATTTTTTATTATTGCTAAATATCAGCATTCTTATAAATCTACATACATATATATACATACAATGATATCACAAATTATCCATTCAACAGTGCTTAAAACATTTTACAAAAAGAGTTACTGTCTAAATAAAAATTAATTATTTACTGAAGCTCAATAAGGTACCTAGAAATAAAAAGCAGTGTAAAAAATGTTTACATAGTTATTAAAACTATAATGAAAAAAAATAATTTAAACAATTTTTTTATAGGTTTTTTTAATGTTTACGTTTTTAAAATGGCTTCTACCATTTCGAATGGGGTGATAACATTACAATCACGTGACAACCTTGACCTAATCCATAATTAAACTTATAATTTTTTAAAATCTTTTAAACAAACATTTTATTTTTTGAAACAAAATTTTTTTTTTATTTTCTAATTATGATAGGAATAAATGAGTTAAAATCATTTATGATTTTAAATTCGTTAAGTGAAGCACTTATTAATAAAGTTGTAATGCTCAAATTAAAATTAAATTGCTTGTTGGCAGTTTATTTTATTTAAATTGAAGGCGCACTTTATTTATTTTTTTCCCTATTTTTACAAATAAAAGAGTTGGAAACCTTTTTTTTAATTAGACATTAATTAGAGCATGAAATTATTAAAAAATACTATTTTAAAAAGACTACGTTATTTTTTTAAACAATTTTTTTTTTTTGCTTTTTTGAAAAAATTAATGTTTATAAAATTTAAAAATATTAAATAGAACAATTTTTAATAAATCTGATAAAATTTGTTCATTTATTAAACAATCATTAGTAACAATTTGTTAATTTAAAAGCACTTTGCATAACTTTAATAAAACGTTTAAAAAGATTTATTTCAAACATAATTAAAAACGTAACAAAAAATTTCGCTTCAAGTTTAAGTTTTTATTTGTTTACATAATTTCTTTTTTGTAAAGAATTTTTTTTCATTTTTTTTTTTAACTTTTTTCATTCAGCATTTCTGAAATATTTAAATCATCAAAACATATAAACATATAATGGTCAAATTGTCAAGAAATAAAATCATTTACATGGCCAACAATAGCGCTGGATTGCACACCATTCATGTCCAAGCCTGATTTAAAATCCTTTTGATTTAAAATTATTGAAGCAAAAGCATAACAAAATTTAAAATTTTAAACATGTTTTAAAAATTTTCAAAACATTTTAAAATTTTTAGACACATTTTAAAATTTTCAAAATGCTGTAAAATTTTAAACACCTCTTAAAATTTTTTAACATGTTTTAAAATTTAAAATTTTAATAATTTAACTATATCAAAAATATATAAGTATTTTATTAAAAATAAATATATATATATATATATATATATTTTAATTATCTTCGCTTCCAACAAGGCTGCAAGCAACCACTAATTAGTGTTGGAAGTTACTGGAAGAGAAAAGATGAAGATTGTAGAGCAAGATAACGATTGACAGACGACTTAAAATATTGCAAATTATATGAATCAGGAAAGCAAGATGAAGGAAGCGAATTCCAAAGAACTGATGTTCAAGGAAAAAAACTAGACGAATAAGAGTTTTTGGAGCACTTAGGAACAGCAACAGAAAAAGGATGAGACTTAATTGAATGACGAGTAACACGCAAATAAATTTTAGTAGATGGCACAAGAGACGCTAGCTCTTTCGAGCAGTGCCCATTATAGTATTTGTAGAAAAGAGAAAGAGAAGCAATATTATGACGATGTGACAGAGGTTGAAGGTTGGCTGCAAGAGCAGGTCCAACTATGTTTACAATGCGTTTTTGCACCTTGTCTAAAAGAGAAAGGGCATCATTAGAAGATCCGCCCCAGATATGGCATCAGTATTCCATACAAGGCCGGATTTGAGATTTATAGAGATAGAGAATAGAATCCAGAGTAAGAAAGTGACAAGCTCGATAAAGAGAAGCAACTTTAGCAGATGCTAATTTTGCAATGGATTTGATATAAGGTTTCCAAGAAAGATCAGAAGTAAGAGTTAATACTAGAAGATGAAGGGTAGGAGACTCATCGAGTACATTACCATTCATAAATATAGGAAGGTCTAAATTATTGCGATAACGATTGGCCGAAAAAATAAATATCAAGAAATAGAATACTTGTTGATACTTTATCAAATTAAGAAGCTATCCTTTTTATTTTTACCCTTTTTATTTTTTCTCCTACATTCTAAATAAAAGTGTGTAGCAAATGAATTTGGCTAATAGTATTTAAAACTATTAATATGTAATAAATTAAAGTTTATAACAAAAAAACTTTTGAAGACATAATCAATAAAAATTTAAATTAATGAAATAAAAAATAAGATTTAAAGATATTCAGAAATTTGAAAAGTTTCTGACAGTAATTAAAACAACTAATATTTTTGTTATTATTATATATGTTATAATTTTTTATTTTTCATAAAAAAATAATACAAAACATGAGTAAAAAAAATAAAAATAAATAAACAAACTTTTTCTGTGTATGTATTTAAAAACAGTTCTTCTTCATTTTGAAATTGCTCTTGACTGAAAATAAAGAAATATTTAAAGTTTTTAATTAAATAAAAAACTTTAATGAAAAATTAAGCTTTTAAAATTTTAAATTTTCAAGTTGCAACAAACATCAAGTTCCTGTGATATATATAGAATTTGCAGTAGCAAAGTTCTAAATAAATCACAATTTATTTCCAAACTTTCCTAGTTTCCAGGATAAATATAATAAAAGTTTATGTTTTCAAATGTATATTAACAAAATTAAAAAAACATTGATTATTCTTATAAGCATAACTTACAGAACATTGCTTTTATATTTTTATTAGTGTTAATTACAGAATATGCCTTTATATTCTTATCATTCAATTTATAGAACATATATTCATATTAGCATAATAAACATATAGTTTTCTCAATGCAGCGATTTCTAACCTGTTTTGCAAACTATGTTATAAATTTTTCAAGAATCTCTTAGTTTTAAAAACTATTATTATATGTAAAATTTACAAACAGATTATTAATAGACACTATTAAGTAATGTAACAATACAAAAAAAATTGTTTATATAATATATATGACATAAAAACTTCACGTCTATTGATTTCCTATATATTTGATAAAAAGTTGATTTAGTCGAATAGTAATTTTAAAATCCTTATATCTTTTTATTCTTTACTTTTTTAATCTTTAATTTTTGTTTGTTCACAACATATAACTTTTACATGCTACCTAGTTTTTTGTTTACTATTTTAAAGTTTTATAACTCATAGTATGTAAGCAACAAATATATCTAATTAAACATTTGGTTATGATTTCATTAATTTTTTTCTTCTTTGTTTACTTTACGTTGAGATTTTCATAAATACTGTGAAGCTCTAAAATCTAAATGTCACCTATAGAATCACACTGTAAATATGATTGTATAAACTTTTTGGTATTTAGCAAGTATTTAAGAGGGTCATTAAATTATTGGGGCTTGGGGATAAATTCTCCCATTGTCAGAGTGGCCCTGCTTCCCATTGAAGTAGCCGTGATCTAATATTGCTTTGTTCCGTTAATATTTAAATGATATGATGTTAAAAAATAAAAAAGGCAAATAAAAATCACATTATTATTTTTATTACAACATATTTTGAAAAAACTTTATTCCCATATATAAAAAAAAATTTATTTACATAAGTCGACATTTGATTGAATAGCCAATTCCAAAAAAGTTGATTTTAGTTGACAGACAATTTATTTAAAAGTCATAACAACACTACTTTAAATGCAACTGATGAAAATAATGAATATTAATTCCTTTTTACCAGAAATTACTTAATGGTGTTATTTTTAAAAAATTCTTGACAGCGTTATTATTCTCCATCTAAAAATTCTTCTAGTAGAATTTCTTTCACTTCTCACATCACAAAAAATTGATGATATAATTTCTTTACACAGGGTTCACACTTGGAAAATAAATCATAAAAAAATTGTATTTAAAATTGTATTACGTTCTATAAAATTTTGGATGTTCTATTGGTAGAAATGTAAACGTTGTTACATTTTTTCAGTCAACTGTTTGTAACTAACTCATATGTATATTTAGCTTTTGTGTTTATGAATAACATGTGACTTATAATTTCGATTATTATTGTTATTATAATTACTATTATAATTATGGAAACAAGCATATTTTATAAAAAGATTAAGTAAAAAATTTATGAAAATTGCATTGCGGCAAATCTCCTTAAGATTTGATCTGTAGCACTTATTTTCAATTTTGCAGCTACATATGAAAGTCTAAAATAAGTCAGAAATTACTTTACTAGTCTCTTTATGAGTCCTCTAAAAGTTGATTTTTAAACAAACGGCAAAGCTAGCCTTGCTAGCTGTGTGTTCGTAGAATCTGACAAATTTAGTAATGGTCATACCAATCACATCCAATTTGAAATTGATTTTAGTCAAGCTTCTGATAAGTACTAATGCGCAAGGACAAAGCGTTTTTTAGTAAACTTTTATCGACCAACCAGCAATAATCTACACGGGTCAGGTACGAAGATTCTATAAAATGTCATTCAGTTCACAATTACAAAGACTTCTGGCACCAATAAGGTTAATATTAGAAAAAATACTTGTCCATTTATTAGTAGACGCTAACCATGGGTATAATTATTTGTTGACAAATTGATACTAATGAAAAATTTGCTAACAAAAATATGTTAAAAAATAGTTTTGCTTATAAAAAATCATTAAAAAAATATAATTAATAAAAGTCGTGAAAAGTTTCTGCTAACAAATAACTTTTGATGAAAAAGTAATTAATATAAGCCATGAAAAAAATTAACAGTACAAATTAAGAAAAAACCTTTCTTCAATGAATAAAACAGTTGAAAAATCTTATTAAATTTCCATAGAAATGAAAATATCCATACAAGCTTTATTAATAAAACAAGTCCAGAAAAAGTTGTTGAGATAAAAATTTGTATCTAACGCTTACAAAAGTAATTTAAAACCACTTTATTGTCACCAGAAGCACATTGCACGACTTATTAAGTTCAGAGATCGTCTATTAGTAAATTCAATATACCATATATATCAGTCCAGATTGAGTTTAATTTTGAATTTAATGTCATTAAATTAATGTCAAGCCTACCCAGAAAACTTGTGCGTTTTTTTGTCTTGTATGACCACATGTGAGTATTTAATTTTAGACAACTTTGTCACGGCGGTTTGCAAGTTTTTTAAGATTAATCATTTCAGAAAAAACAAAGTTTTAAAAAAAAAAAAAGCTTAACTATTAAATTAGGAAATAAAAAGAAATTTTAATAGAAAAAATAAAAATAAATTAATAGTTTAAATAATTTGTGTACTGTTTTTATTTTGGTTTTTTTCGAGTGGTTGTTATTTTCAGCAAAAAAATTAGATTAAGCAAATCAAAAAAAAAAAATACAATTCTACATTAAAAATAATTATTTTATTTTCTTTTATTTTTGTTTTTTTAAAGAGGATTATTACATGAACGTTTGAAAATAAAATCTGTCAAATCTTTATTTTGAGTCAATGATATTTTGTTTATTTTTTATGTGTATATATATACAATATGTGCAAACTTGACCTTGGTTAAAGCAGAGTTAATAAAAACTTAATAATTTTGACCTTGGTTAATTTTCTTTAATTTTTGTTTTTTAAAGACAATTATTACATGAACGTTTGAAAATAAAATCTGTCAAATCTTTATTTTGAGTCAATGATATTTTTTTTATTTTTTGTTGCAATGATATTTTTTTATTTTTTGTTATTTTTTTGACCTTGGTTAAAGCAGAGTTAATAAAAACTTCTTAATAACTTTGACCTTGGTTAAAGCAGGGTTAATAAAATTTTTGTAATAACTTTGACCTTGGTTAAAGCAGAGTTAATAAAAACTTCTTAATAATTTTGCTGCTTTCAAAACAAAATTACAATTGTTTTGAACAATAAAAAAAAACGGTTTTTATTTTCAATTTCTATTTTCACTTTAAGCTTTTTTTTTTAATCTTTAGATTAATTAAATTAACTTTTTGAATTTTTTTGATTTTATTAAACTAAATTTTACTTTTTATGCATTAATTATGATTACATTATTATTAATTTTTTTTCCTTTTAATTTTTTTCCTTTTGTTTCATCCTCTTCTTTTTTTTTTTTGTCTATAACAACATTTATTAGATATAATTGCTCTACAAATTTTATTGGGAATTTCCATTTTCAGTTTTTCCCATGATATAGATCTTAAGTTTTTCAGAAATTTTAATTTCTGAAAAAGTTCTTTTCTGATAACAGCTTTTGATAACTCAATAGTCATATTTTTGATATAAATATTTTAATAATAAATATAAAAAATAGTGATATTTTTAATATTAATGTTTTAGTAAATATAAAAAATAGTGATATTTTTAGTATGAATATTTTAATAATAAATATAAAAAATAATGATATTTTTAATATTAATGTTTTAGGAAATATAAAAAATAGTTATATTTTTAATATTAATGTTTTAATAATAAATTTTTTTCATTCATATTAATTATTTAATTTAATTGTTTTCTGGTGTTTTATATTTTTTAGAATCAATGAACCTGTCTTTTTTTTTTTTTTTTTTTTTTTTTTTTTTAAACATCTTCACTTCCAACAAGGCTGCAAGCAACCACTATAAGAGTTGGAAGTTACTGGAAGAGAAAAGACTAAATCTGTAGAGCAAGATAACGATTGACTGATGACTTAAAAGATTGCAAATTATATGAATCAGGAAAGCAAGATGAAGGAAGCGAATTCCAAAGAACTGATGTTCGAGGAAAAAAACTAGAAGAATAAGAGTTTTTGAAGCACTTAGGAACAGTCACAGAAAAAGGATGAGACTTAATTGAATGGCGAGTAACACAAAAATGAATTTTAGTAGATGGCACAAGGGACGCTAGCTCTTTAGAGCAGTGCCCATTATAGTATTTGTAGAAAAGAGAAAGAGAAACAACATTACGACGATGTGACAAAGGTTGGAGATTGGCTGCCAGAGCAGGTCCAACTATGTTTACAATTCGTTTTTGCACCTTGTCTAAAAGAGAAAGAGCATCATTAGAAGATCCGCCCCAGATGTGGCAACAGTATTCCATACAGGGACGGATTTGAGATTTATAGACATAGAGAATAGAATCTGGAGTAAGAAAGTGTCGAGCTCGATAAAGAGATGCAACCTTAGCAGATGCTAATTTTGCAATGGATTTGATATACGGTTTAAAAGAAAGATCAGAAGTAAGAGTTAATCCTAGAAGATGAATGGTAAATGACTTATCTAGTACATTACCATTCATAAATATAGGAAGATCTAAATTATTACGATAACGATTGGCCGAATAAAATTGAGTTTTATCTGAATTAAAGTTCACCAGCCACTGTGAGCCCCATGCTGTAGCAGAAGTGAGATCCTTTTCAAGCTCAGATACCCCCTCCAAGCAATCAGAGAGTGTAGGCTTCTTATCATGACAAGAGTAAATGGTAGTGTCGTCAGCGAATAATGCCACCTTAGATGTGAGAATATCTGGAAGATTGTTAATGTAAATTAAAAAGAGTATAGGGCCAAGGATTGAACCTTGAGGAACCCCTGAAGTTACAGGATGTGAAGAAGAGTGTTGTCCATCGAGGACAACTTTTATACTACGATTGGAAAGAAAGGACTCAATAATCTTAAAGACGTTACCAGCTACACCATAAGAAGAAAGCTTATGGAGAAGACCAGCATGCCAAACTTTATCAAAAGCTTTAGAAATGTCAAGTGCAATAGCCTTAACCTCTCCACCTCTATCTAATGCACGGTAAAACCTATCGGTTATTACTGTTAGCACATCAGCTGTAGAACGAGAAGACCGAAATCCATATTGATGATCAGAAAGTAAGTTATTTGATTCAAGATGAGAGATTAAGTGTTTGTTGATTAAAGATTCAAAAACCTTGCTTATGACAGGAAGAAGACTAATGGGGCGGTAGTTAGATGAATCAGATCGCTCTCCGGAATTTTTGAAAATAGGGATAACAGATGCTGCTTTCCAGCATGATGGAAAACAAGACTCTGATAAGCACTTGTTAAATAGTTTAGAAAGTATGGATGAAAGCTCTGGAGAACACCTCTGCAAGACTACAACAGGAATGTTGTCAGGACCACAAGCTGTTGAAGAGTCTAAGCAGGAAATTACTTTAGATACAGAAGCTGAAGTGATGCGAATGTCAAGCAAGGGATCAACCTGTTTGACGGCTATGTCAGGTAAAACGCAACTAGTGGAATCAAGAGATAATATTGATGAAAAGTTCTTAGCAAACAATTCAGCTTTGTCTTTAGGTGAGGTGACAAAGTCTGAACCATACAAGAGAGAAGGAATAACAGATTTGCCCTTATTATTGATACTGTTAAAGATTCTCCAGAAGTCTCGAGAGCCTAATTTTTGTGATGAGATACGAGATTTAATGACCTGAGAATAGCGAGCTTTGGCGTCAGACAAAACCTTTTTACAATGGTTTCTGGCAAAAGTGAACAGATGTCTGTTTTCTGGAGAATTGTTTTGCTGATAGATATGGAAGTAACGGTTTCGATTAGAAATTGCTGCAGCGCAATGTGAGGAAAACCAAGGAGAAGAGTGAGGCCTGACCTGGAATCGTCAAGAGGGAATAAAAGATTCCATGCCAGCCTGAATCCACGAAGTTATGTAAGAAGCACATTTGTCAGCAGGAAGACGAAAGATTTCTACCCAAGGGCCATCATGAAGAAAATCACGGAAAGAGTCCCAGTCAGCTTTAAGGTAGTTGTATGTGGTACGATGATAGGGGGATTCTGATGAAGTAGAAGAATTTGATAATAGTTTTAGAGAGATCAAACCGTGATCAGAAGTACCTAAGGGTGAATGTGGAGAAATTGAGCACTGACTAGGATCCAAAACAAGACATAAGTCGAGTAGAGAAGGTAAATGATTAGGGTTGTCTGGAAAACGAGTTGGAAAGTTGACTATTTGAGTTAGAGATTGAGAAAGGCAAAAGTTGAGGGCCTTAACGCCAGCAGAGTCTCTGACACTAGAGCCAAGCCAATCGGTGTGATGGGCATTAAAGTCACCAACAACGACGATATTGGCCGATGGATAAAGAGAGAGGGCTTGGTCAATTTGATCAGAAATAACATCAAGAATAGTGCAATCTTGAGATGAAGGAGAGCGATATAGAACAAAGAGAAAGGCGATAGAGTGAAGTTGTGCTAAACGAAAGCACATAAATGAATAGTCTGTAGATTCAAACCTAGTTTCACGACAAATGGGTGAGTTCTTACGAATGTAGATGCCCAGGCCAAGCATGTGATTATTGGAGTCTTTATGAATTAAAGGAAGATAACCATCAACATTAAGATGTCTTAAACAAGAAAAAAATGTCTTAAACTAGAAAAAAAAAAAAAAAGATAAACCAAAAAAGTTTATTTAACTTTTCAATAGAATCTTTTAAGAATGAAGAAAAAAAATATTGTAAAAAAAAAAATAATAATTGTTATTACAATATTTTTCATTATATTACATTTCATATTCTTATCTTTTAAGTTAATTTGTCTTTACAATTATCTAAATTTTATTATGTTTTAATTCATGCTCTTAATTGCAATATATTGGGTTTTATATATTTTATATTTCTTTTATACTGTATTTTTTAAAAAAAGACTTATAAAAATGCATTTAAAAAATAAAAGAACAGAAGTTTTTTTTACATAATCATGACACTTCATTGTCATAATTATATACAATTCATGTACTTTAAAAAATATATACTTCTTAATTTACATCTGATTATAACATTTATAACACTTAACTTAAAAAAATCTTCAGGTTTAATAACTTATAATATTTAACTAAAAGTGTTTTTTTTTTAAATTTACCTGAATAACTCATTCCAATTTTCTTGAAGTTTAACCCAATATTCTTCACTCCCCTAAATTCAATATTCATTTTATATATAGCCATGTCACATCTAAATATGTACAAACACAACAAAAAGTTTCACCACATATTTCAGAATTGGTAGGTTTTAAATTACTTAAAAGACTTTTTTGGAGTACCTATCTAGTACTAATCGTTTTGGAGTACCTATCTAGTACCAGTCTTTTTGGAGAATCATAAATTAAAAGCAGAAAACTAAAAGCAACTAATAAAATTTGAACATAAAATTCAAAACTGGATGTTTAGATATTGCTATTTAATGTGCTCTAAAAATAAAAAATTATTAAATCCAAATATGACAACAGTATTCCATATAGGGGCGAATAAGAGATTTATGAAGGTAGAGAATGGAATCAGCAGTATGAAAATGGTGAGCATGATAAAAAAAACAACCTTAGCAGATGTTAACTTAGCAGATGACTGTATATATGGTTTCCAAAAGAAGAAGACTCAGTGAGAGGATTACCACTCATCAATATAGGGATGTTGACAGTATTACGATAGTTTTATGTAGTAAATAACTGAGTTTTTATTAAAATGAGTTCATGAAAAGCTTATCTTATCCTATCCACAAGTGAAAAAACCATGGTGAATACATCTTACTTCAAAAGCAAATTCTGATATTTGTTTAATGAAAAATCCCAATAATGTAGCTTTTTTTAGGGATTTTTACTAACAAACTATTAAATCCTAATAAACAAAAATCTTCAATAAAATCCAAGGCTTTATTGAGATTTTTTTCAAGGGTACAACTTCTTAATTTTAACTAAAATTTGATAAGATTATGGTGCAAACTTCATAGTCCTGATCTGCAAAGCAGATTAACCCATTTAGACCTAGTGACCCAATTTCAGAACACTCAACTCAATTTTTTATTTTATTTTTTTATTTCTTAATTTTGACACCAGGGTGCATTCTGATAACTTTGTCAGTGAGAGCAATGCTGTTGCTTTCTTGTGGTCAGTATTTGAATGTGCATAGACGTGAAATTCTGTTGCTGTACAGTTAAAAACATTGAAGTATAAAATTTGACAGTTTTTGCAACGTTTCTTTCAACTCATGCAAGTATTACTTTTACTTTTTTGGTTCTATAAACATATTTTTTGGTCATTACTTATCTTCTGTATATACACTAGCGTGTTTTAGAATTAGTACACAGAATTTTTTTTTTGTCATAATGATGGGTTCCTAAAATCAGGTGTTCCGATTTCGGAATACTAGGCACATACAGGGTGAATGAAGCATTTATGTATATTTTTATTTATTTATTTATTTTTTTATGTATGTATGTATGTAGTTGTATGTATGAGGAAACTACCCCCACCCGCCATAGCTCTGTCAGTAAAATATATATATACATAATCATTCACACATTATATGCATAATTGAAAAACTAATTTTATAATAACTTTTTTGTTTCTTATTGGAATGATATGAAACAGACACATAGCCAGGGGGGAGCCAAGGGCCATGCCCCCTCCCCCCCTCAGTATTCTTTGCCCCCCCTATCAGCCTTACAAAGTACACAATTTACTTTGTTTAGTTGCAAAAACAACAATTATAATTTAAAAAATAAAATAAATTTATATTTATTCTAATTGTAATTTTAAATATGGAATTTCATAGAACCAAAAATTTTTTTCAATAAGTTGAATTTTTAAAAAAACTCTTTTTTTATTTATTTTGTTTTTATTTATTTCTTACAGATCTTCCCCAAGATGCCCAAGACCTTATCGTTTAATGAAATCATGGAACTTCTAGAAGAAGAAGATAATATTGAAACAAGTGCTATAATCATTGAGCCACCTGTAAACGCAAATGCGACCAATTCAGATGAAGATTCTGGAGATGAAGAGGGTGGAACTATAAATAATTTACCAGGTTCTTTACTCCAAGCACCTGCTCATTTAGTCAATGATAGTAATTTTATTTCCAACTTAGACGAAGAAGATGTTTCTATTTCTACTGTGCATGAACTTCCTAAAGTGAAAAAAATAAAACTCTCTAAAGTCACATGCAAATGGAAAAACAAATACTTGAACATCCGACCCGTAAAAGGAAGAATAACACCACCTCAACAGACAACAGCAAAAACTCCCACAGAAATTTTTGAACTTTTTTTAGATGACAAAGTTGTGGAAATAATTGTGACATATACAAATTTGTACGCTTCTGAAAATGGATTAACTCTTGGCTTGAGTAATTCAGAGTTCAAATGTTTTTTAGGCATAATTATTTTGAGTGGCTATGTCCCACTACTAAGACGAAGAATGTTTTGGGAGCAAAGACCTGATACCCATAATAAAATGGTCAGTAGTGCCATGAGGCGTGATCAATTTTCATCAATTTTTACAAACTTGCATGTTTCTAATAATGCAAACTTAGACCATGAGGACAAATTTTCAAAAATACGACCTCTAATTTCTGAACTAAATAAGAGATGTTTGAAATTTACTCCAATGGAAACAAACTTCAGTTTTGATGAGTCTATGGTTCCCTACTTTAGTCGTCATGGGTGTAAACAATTTATTCGAGGCAAACCTATTCGATTTGGTTTCAAATTTTGGTGTGGTGCAACACCACTAGGATGCATCTGTTGGTTCCAACCATATCAGGGTAAGAATCCAAATACACAATTTCAAGAATATGGTGTCGGTGCATCGGTGGTACTTCAATTTGTTGAGGCACTAACAGAGGAGCATCCTGGAGAATATCATTTTATATTTGATAATTTTTTTACCAGCATTTCTTTACTTGATAAGCTCACATCAATGGGCCATCATGTGACAGGAACTGTGAGAAAAGATCGAATTGAAAAGCCTCCACTTGATTCAGATGAAGTTATGAAGAATAAAGAAAGAGGTGCGTTTGACTACAGAATTGATGATAAAGGCAATATTATTTGCAAATGGCATGACAACAGTGTTGTCACTGTTGCTTTATCAGCAGCTGGAATCAATTTTATTGGCCTAGTGAATCGTTATTCACAAAAAGAAAAAAAGAGAATTCAGATTCAACAGCCTCGCATGATAAAATTATACAACCAATATATGGGAGGAATCGACAGAGCTGATGAAAATATAGGGCAATATCAAGCATCCATATGTGGAAAAAAATGGTACTCAAGCCCTCTGTTATTCTGTTTTGAAGTAATTTTACAAAATGCTTGGCTACTACACAGAACAATAGAAGAAAAGCCTTTAGATCTTCTGGAGTTTCATCGACGTATAGCATCCAATTATCTGGAAACCTATGGTCAACCTCCAGAAACTGGAAGAAAGGGAAGAGCATCACAGAAGTGCAACATTGATTCAAGATATGATGGTCTAAATCATAATATAGTGAATCAAAATAAACAAACACGTTGTCGACAATGCCATAAAAACACAACATTCAAATGTGAAAAGTGTAGTGCTGCCTTGCATATTAAATGTTCAACCAAATATCATACTCATAATAACTATATATTTTTTTGTGATTGTATTTTTTTGTAATTTTATATTTGTAATTATATTTATGGTAATAAATATAACAAGATTTTTTTAGTATCTAAAAGTGACCAAATAATTATGAAAAAAGAGTACATTTATATATATTCTTCTAATGTCATGAGAATGTAGTCCATAAACCTAGTGTTCTGATTTCGGAACTTCTTGTATCTTAAAAACTAGAAAAATTAAAAAAAATTTACTTGAAACAATTTTGTTCTTACACCATTTTATGCAACACATATGAATATCACGAAAAAATTCACTAAAAAAAACCTTCGGTGTAAATGGGTTAAAGCCAGGAAAGTTGACCAGTTGTAAAAAATAATAAAAGGGAGAAACCAAACATAAGATTATAACTTAATTTTAAGTTCTTTAAAAGATAATTATTACTTCAAATACTAACTATTAAGCAAATATATCAGATTATGAATATTTTTGACCTGTAAATATACTGGACTTGTATCAAATTAAATCAAATATATTATGAAACAAGTTGTTTAACATTTCAAAGATATTTACAATAGTACGAGTACTAATATAAAGCAAATACCTAATATGATATATCAATATAGACATTTAGAAATATATTAATAGTAATAATAATATTATATTAATAGTGTAAATACTACTAATAAATAAAACAACAATAAACATTAAATCAATATATATATATATATATATATATATATATATATATATATATATATATATATATATATATATAGCAATAATAAGTAATACTGATAGTATAATAGAAAGTAAAATAAAAATAATAAAAAAGTTAATATTACTATCATCTGAAAACAAAATAATAATGATAAGAATAATAATCATATTATAAAATTCAATCAAAATAAAAAAGAATAATAACCATAATAAAAAATCTTTAATAACGAAGATAATATTACCAATAAAAATAAGATAAATAGAAATGAAAGAAAATAAATTGAAGATGACGAAAAATAAAGATTCAAGAAAATCCTCATCAATAACAGTGATAATATTAACAATAAAGTTAAGATAAATAGAGACAAATGAAAGAAAATAAATTGATGATGACAATAAATAAAGATTTAAGAAAATCCTCGTCAATAACAATGATAATATACTAACAATAAAAATAGAAAAATGAAAAAAATAAATATATAAAATGAAAAGCAGAATAAAAAACCAAGGAATTAAGGATAAGAAAAGACTAGGTAGATAGAATTTGATAAATAGATAGAGAATTTAGAGTTATTGAGGATAGGAGAATGAAAAGCCAGAGGATTACTAATTTATAAATATTATAGGGAGTTTGGAGTTTGACTGCAGAGATATTTATTTGTATTTTATTAACAAGTGATTGAAAAGCTTGACCTTGAAGTCAGAGATTGAGTTTAGAGATTTTAAATCAGGGAGGAGATTGTTCCATGCGCTTATACCTTGGTATTTTATGGATTTATTTCCATTCTTGATAGAATGGTGTTTTGGAACAGGTAGGTTTAAATTATTAAACGAATGAAGAGGATATTGACAGTTTAAAAATTAATTACAAAAATTGTTGAACCATACTGGAAGGTTATGGTGATGGTAATTCCAGACAAATTGACAGTTAAGGAATATAACCAGGTCCCTTAATTTTAGTATATTGGAAATACAGTACAGCACACTAGATTTAAAGTTATTAGATTGAAAATATATTATTTTTAAGGCTTTATTTTGAAGATGGTATAGGCTTGAGAAATTGTGTTTCTGGGATTATCCCCATATTTGAGATGAATATCTTAGACGAGACCCAAAAATAGCATGGTATATATTAAGCAAAGCTTCTAAATTTACATAATGGCAGACTTTGACCAACATTACATTAGATCTCCTGAGTTTTATTGCCAAGTCAGGTAGATGGTCTTTGAAGGAAAGATTGTAATCAATTTTAATACCAAGATATTTGATAGATCCCACAGGATAAATTTTCTGTCCTCTTAGTCTAAAATTTAAGTGCTTTTTAATAGGTGTCAGACTGGACTTAAAGATGATGAGTTCGGTTTTATTACAGATAAGAGAAAGTTTATTAGATCGAAGCCATTGAACAAGATTTCAGAGATCATGATTAATATATTTGTTGATTTTTTTTAGTGATTTGTCAATCAGTAGCATGTTAGTATCGTCTGCAAAGTGGTAAGCAGTTGCAAATTTAAAAGAAGTATTCAAGTCATTAATAAAAATAAGAAAGAGAAGTGGTTCTAAAACTGAACCTTGAGAGACACCACTTGAGCACTTTTTTTATTAGAGAATTAGTCCCATTAATGGAAACAAACTGTTTTCTATTGTTAAGATAAGAACTAAACCATTTAAGTGGGATGCCTCTGATTCCATAATACTCCAATTTTGTTAGAAGTATTGAGTGATCTACAGTGTCAAAAGCTTTTTCCAAATCTACAAACACTCCACATACAAAGTGCTTGTTATCCAGAGCTTTTTGAATCCTCTCAGTAATTTCAATGAGTGCAAGGGTTGTGGAATGTTTGCTTCGGAAACCATACTGATGTTGGTATAGGCTTTTACATTTTTTTAGAAACTTGTATAGCCTAATGCATTGTATAGCTTTTTAAAAAGTTTGCTCAGATTTAAAAAAAGGAAAATGGGTCAATAGAAAAATAGTTAGTGTAATCAAGAAGAGAACCTTTTTTGAGGATTGGAACAACCCTAGCTACTTTGAATACATCAGGGAATGTGCCACTTTTAAATGAGTTATTAATAATAGTAAAAAGTGGCTTTAAGATAATGTGAGATGTAAGTTTTAGAAAAAATGAAGGTAGGCTGTTAGGACTATAGCTTGTGTTATTTTTTAAAGTATTATTGATAAAATTAGATACCTCATTTTCACTCACAGGATCAATAAAGAGGGAATTAGTATTTGGCATATTAAGAAAGTCTCTAAACTTGCATTTTATTGGTCTGATTTCCCTGTGTAGTTTTTTATTGACAAAGATAAAATAGTTGTTAAATATATTAGAGACAGTAGTATGGTCTGTGATAATATTTTCATTCAAATTTAGTTAAAAAGGTGCATTGTGGGATGATGATTTAATGTTAATGACTTCTTTAATGCCTTTCCATGTACTTTTAATGTTGTTCAGGTTGTTATTGAAATAGTTTATGTAGAAGGATTTTTTGCTACTTTTTAGTAAGTTGCTAATTTTATTCCTATAATATTTAAATTTTTTAAAGAGTTCGTTTTTATTATTAATATTTTTACATCTTGCAAATTTTTTGTAAATACTATTTTTTACAGATATAGGTTTAAGTATTCCTTCAGAGATCCAGGGTTTAGATTTGAGTAGTATTTGATTCTTGGATAATGTTTAAAAGGGGGCATGATGGTTTAATTTTTTTTTAAATGTCCTTAAGAAGTGATTGACAGATTGATTCACATCATCGTCTTTTTTAATCAAGATTTCCCAGTTGATTTTAGAACTGTCCAGAATAAATTTGTTGGTATCAAATAGACTTATGAAAAACATATTTAAATATAGCCACATTTTTCAAATCATTGAATGAAGAATAGGATAAAATTTCCTTTTTCATTCAATACCAGAACAACATCGTTGAGCAGCAAAGGGTATATTTAAAAAATACTAATTTAAGTCTTTTATAGAATATGTGGTCAAATATTTTATCTAGTAGCACAAATTGGTTGGAAACATTTGCACTTGTAAATTTAACAATTATAATAATAAATACATTTACAAACACAAATAATATTATTTTCTTATATTATTTTGTTTCCTATATCTCATACTAACATCTCATAACTATTAAAAATCATTAGGATTTTTATAAAATAAATTAAAGCAAAAAATATTATTAGCTATAAATTTTCACACGCTACTGTATATATGTATTTTTTTTTTTATGTTAATTCACCTCTCCAAGGCTGAGAAGACCACTACAGACAAGGAGGCTATTCAATTGTGGTTCTAACCCTCTCTCAACTCTAGAACTCTAAAACACAAACCTTGATGAACAAAGCCGCTGCGTGGAGAAACAAGTTGAGCGCGATACTACCAGGGACGTGGTGGGGATCAAACTTGGAACTTCTCGCGTATGAAGTGAGCGCTCTACCACTAAACCTTTACCAAATTTAGTATGTTATATATTTATGTATGTCAATGTACATATATGTATATGCGTATACATATATTTTATTTATGAATTTTTTACATGCTAATTTTTATATGACATTTTTAAAGTTTTCGGTTATTGCTCATTACATCTAGAATAGCTTCATTTCATCATTGACTTTTATTGCATCAACAAAAGAGTTGTTAACATTTATCTGTAAATATCAAAAGTAAAAAAAAACAAAAAAACAATATAAGCAATTTTAATAGATTTCTTGCCACAAATTCACTTGGCAACATTTTTCACTTTTCTGCCACAAATTCATACTAGTAACATTCTTTACTTTCACTCACTAATTGCTAAACTTTAATAAGTAATATCTCCAGAACCACTATAAATTATCTCCTCTATAAATTGGACACCCATATTTTTCACTTTATTATTTATTATTAATGGTAATACGTTCTCTCAAGATTCCAAAAATCAACCATATCTTAAAATACATGGTGATAAGGCCTTAAGAAAATAAACTGTGTAATTAAATCAAAAATAATTTTAACTAAACTCAATTTTAAAATTAAAACTAAGAACAAACAAAATAAATAAATATAAAAAAACAACAAACATCTGAAGACTGTGTGAGATCTTCAACAATAGTAGCAGGATTTTCATTGTAATTTGTAGCATATTCGTGCACCCATTTGTTCGCTTGATCTTCCTTTTTTATATAAAATATAATGTAGTTAAACATCTTAAATATGTAACATAGTAACATTTACCATGGTAACATAATTTTTAATTAAATCGAAAAAGTTTTTAATTAAAAAAACTTATTTTAATTAAAATTCTAAAAAATTTTTGGTTCTCCTACAACTTTCTACCCTACCTCTGCCATTCAATAATTTTATCTCTCTAATGTACAAAAATTTTATTTAATTTGTTTACCAAAACAACTTACCTCAGCACTTATTTCATCTTCAATTTTTGTTAGTATTTCACAAGCAGTCCTATTTTCTTCAGAAAACTTTTCTTCCAAAATATTACTAAAAACATTCTAGCAGTGTTTTTAAAATATTACTCAAAATATTCTAGTAGTGTTTTTATTCTTAACACAAAATCATAACTTTTTTTTAAAGAATCAGTAAAAAAACATTTCCTAAAAAAGAAAAAAGAAAACAACAAAAAAAAATAAAAGTAAAATGTTAGCAACAGACCTTAGCTACAGCCAAAAAAAAACCCTTTTATTTATTTACTTTAACAGAATTGAACAGTCTTATGTTTAAATTTCAAAAAAAAGTTGTTTAAAAATTATTAAACAACACTGGTAATAATTCCCAAACAACACTGTTAATAATTACAAAACAACACTGTTAATAATCCTAAAATAATACTTAATAATTCTAAAATAAAACATTTTATTTTAAAATTATTTTCTTTATTTTATAATAAGGTTTTTTTTTTACCTAGTTTCATTGAGACATTCTGGTCTCCATTGGATTTGCTGTACATTCATATTTGGTTTATGGTATATACCATGAAGCGGACGATATAATGGATGATACGATGGACGATAAAATGAAGACTGAAAGCCATGAGTTTGAGACTTGAAATCATTTTTAAAATTTTCTAATACTAAAAAAAATAAATAATTTTAAACTCAAAAACTTAAATAAAACAAAAGAAAATTATTTTTGTTTTAGATTCAAAATAACATTAAATTAAAATCGAAAATAAAGATGAAACCACTTTACCAGAACTTTTTTCAAAGTATTCTGTTTTCCACTCGTTAGATATCTTCTCACAATCTGTTCTCTGATTCTCTATGGTAAAAAAGAAAAATTAAACAGTTGCATGGAATTCTCACATCATTAAATCATTAGTTGTCTCTGTAACATTCAGTTCTTACTGTAACATTCAGTTGTTGTTGTAACAATTAGTTATTGATGTAACATTCAGTTGTTGTTGTAACAATCAGTTGTTGCTGTAACATTTAGTTATTGCTGTAACATTCAGTTGTTGCTGTGACATTTAATTGTTGTCAAAACATTCAACTGTTGCTGTAACATTCAGTTGTTGCTGTTACATTCAGCTGTCTCAGCAATATTCAGTTGTTGCTGTAACATTCACTTGTTGGAGTTACATTTAGCTTTTTGTAAACAGTTGTTAAAAAGGACTTAAAAAGTTTTTTTTACCTTTTACAGAAGCCATATTAGAGAGTTTTTCAATTCCATGCATTTCATTGAGTAAGAGTTGCATGTTGAAAGTTTGAGGAACAAAAGAATAGGTTTCCTAAATGTTAAAAGAGGTTTCCTAAATGTTATGTTAAGTTAACTTATGTTAATTTTTTATTGTGAAAAAATAAGAATTTTTATTATTTTGACAATAAACTTAAAAAACAGTAACTAGTACCCAGTGATAATTTAGGGGATACTGTTAATGCAAATCGTTCTTTTCCTACCCCACCTCCTCAGCTCTTTACCCAGCGCAGCCCATCATGATTTAGCTACACAAAGAAAATTTGTAAAATTCACACCTGTAGAAAAGCTCTGTTTCTTAGCATTTAATTCAAAGTTGTTAGTCCTTGGCCTTGGCCTTGACTTTGAAACTTTTTGGCCTTGAAATTTTTGGCTGTGACATTGATTGTTTTGACCTTGGGCTTTATAATAAAATACATAAAAGTAAAGAATTCAAAGTTTTCATTCTTTATTTTATATAATTCATCATGTAGTTAATCATTTTTTATTTTACGTAATTACTTTATTAACACAAGACAAAAATTTAAATCTTTGGCATTGAAAATGTTTGCGTAGGCGTTGGCCTTGAAACTCTAATTCTTGGCCTTGGTCTTGTAACATGTGGAACTATCCTTCTCCTTGGCCTTAGCCTTGTAACATGTGGTCTTGGCCTTGCTACTTTTGGCCTTGTTAACAATTCTGATTTAATTAATAATTATAATTATTTAAAAAATAATTATAATTTTAATTTTTTTGGTACCATTTCTATGATGATTGATTACCACATGTAATTATCAAATTTATTTAAACCAGCAACACCAAACGCATCAACTTATTTAAAGATGGCACAGACATAAAATTTCTCTGCTTTGTGTGAAAGAAAATAAGACACAGAAAATATATGCTCAATATTAGAAAACTTGGTGTGATCAATAACAATAGTTTAAAAAGCTTCATTACTGAAGAATATTGATTTCTATTTTTGCAAAGTTTTCTATTAAAATCTGATACAAATTACAAACTACTTCTGGGTTAAATTTAACTTAAGCCATAGCTGATTTTATTTTACCATTTAAAATAGATAGATGTGAAGTATTAGTCAAAATATCTTTTTCACCCTTATCTATGGTGATTATTACCCCTTATTTGATTATTATTACTCCTTTCTTATGATTCTCCTATGATTCTCCTTTCTTATGATTCTCCTTTCTTATGATACTCCTTTCTTATGGTTACACTTTTGTAATTATAAAGTAACACACAGCCTGCTTCCTTACTGATAACAAAAAAATGCTTAAAGCTTGCATCTCTGGATCTGTTGCTTCTAAAGCAAGCACTTTAACCAATGGGTCATGACTGCTATTAATTTTATAAATATAAATTTTGTATCAACTACCTTAATGAATTAACAATATATAGAGGGATTATATTAAAGGAAGAGAGTGAGAATTTTATAGCAAATCTAATAACCAGGAGGTTTTAATAAAAGTGCCTCAATAAACTAACAATATAAAGATAGCTATTACCTTGATGAAGTACTATTGCAAATAATAATACAAGGAAAAGGTTGGAATAAAAGAAAGGAAGTGGGAGTTTTAGTCCAGATTTAATAAACAGGGGGAGTTAATAAAAGGGTAGGTTTTTAATCTAATTTCAAATAATTGTCAGCCTATACTCAAAACCTTGTAAATCCAAATTAATATTTTTTATACAAAATACACATAAAACAATTCAATTCTATAATGGCTTTTGGTCAAATGCGCATTTTTAACAGCTGTTTTATCATAATTTCAATAGGATTTAATATGCTTATACTGTGGTGAAGTTTTATACTGTGGTGAAAAATAAACCAAAAGCTCATTTTTGACAAATTGAGGTTTATGAGATTTTTTTTATAGGTCAATGTTTTTTAAAGAACACGAAAAGTTTTTAATTTGATCAATGGCATATATATTTTCTAATTTTTAAGGCAGCTTCACACTGATTTTTTATTTTTAAGTTTTGAAATGAAATCTTTTTGTTGATAAAAAATAAAAGTTAACATCCTCAAAATAAAAGTTAACAAAATAAAAGTTAACATCCTCTCCCATGGATTAATCATGCAAGAGTAACAATACATAGACTGTTACTACCTTAAAGCTTTATTTTAAAAAAAAAATTTAAAAGATCAGATAATATTTGAAACAAACCTGATGACTTGTTGAAAACTCTGCCTAAAATCAAAACAAAACAATATAACAAAACAAAATATATATATATATATATATATATATATATATATATATATATATATATATATATATATATATATATATATATATATATATATATATATATATATATGTATATATGTATGTATATATATATATATATATATATATATATATATATATATATATATATATATATATATATATATATATATATATATATATATATATATATACCTGTGGACCTGTCAAATGTTTGAGGGCTTTGAGGGACCTTTAGGGCAAATAATAAAATTTAGTAAAAAATATTTTTGAACCACAATATAATAGTTGAATGGGAAAAATTTCAATTAGCTATGTTCTGAAAACAAATTAGCATACTGAACAACCCTAATATATATATATATTAGGGTGGTGCTTAAAACAACTTTTTTGAGAAAAACCTGCTGGTACCCCCTAAATGTGTTTTATCTAATACAAAAACACTAGGTTTAAAATTTTTTTGAACAAAAAATATTTTTAGGGGTAGCTCAAGGCCCTCAAAAATTTGACGGGTCCCTAATATTTTGAAAAAAAAACTTTTTCTAAAGTATGTCAACCTGGTACTCAAAATAAGCAAAATTATATAAAAAATTTAAAGATGAAAATAATTTTTTATAAAAATAATTTTTTCAGGTAAAATGCATAAAAACTATTGTTTTTAAGCTGAAAATAAAAAAAGTCAATATTTTCAGGTTTTTTGAGAATAATTTTTTTTAGGCATGTTTTTTATGTAAAATGATTATTATTTTTGAAGTTTTTATATAATATCGCTTCTTTTGAGTACCAGGTTGACATACTTTAGAAAAAGTTTTTTTTTCAAAATATTAGGGACCCGTCAAATTTTTGAGGGCCTTGAGCTACCCCTAAAAATAATTTTTGTTCAAAAAAATTTTAAACCTAGTTTTTTTGTATTAGATAAAACACATTTAGGGGGTACCAGCAGGTTTTTCTCAAAAAAGTTGTTTTAAGCACCACCCTAATATATATATATATATATATATATATATATATATATATATATATATATATATATATATATATATATATATATATATATATATATATATATATATATATATATATATATATATATATATATATATATATATATATATATATATATATATATATATATATATATATATATATATATATATATATATATATATATATATATATATATATGTAAATATATATATATATATATATATATATATATATATATATATATATATATATATATATATATACACACCAGTGGTGTACCCTAATGGTTGCCTAGTGGAACAGGACAACTTTTCTTCAAGGGTGGCTGAAATTAAAAAAAAGGATGCCTTTCAGTAACCTGGCAGGACAACCAGATAGTTTGTTACTTACAAAAGTGTGTTAGTTAATAAAACCATACTTTGTTCTATAAAGACTTTATTCCATGTGATTATATAAAAGTAAACTTTAAAAAGCATTTAAATTAGTTTAATAATATGATTACATGATGGCGTGTTATTTAGTTGATACTTTTTTTCAGTGAGCAAACCAAGGTATTGCTTTTTTTTGTAAAATCAAGACCCAAATTATTTTAATTTATTTAAACCATTTATACTCATTTTCTTATAATAATTTGCGATAAATTAGGTTTATTGTATTAAATAATTCTTTTACTATAATATATTATAGTAAAATTTGCTATATTTTATAAACCGTTAAAAAAGGAATTCGATATTCAAGCACTTATTGTATTTGGGTCAGGATTTAGTAAAAAATGCAAAACCTGGATTTTATTTACTGGAAAAAAATTTCAACCATGTTATTTTCACCAAACTTAGTAAAAAAGGAGCCGGCACGCGAATTTATATTTTGAAATTTGACTTTGCTGTTTTTTTAAACATTGATGCTGCATTTTGAAGCATGTATCTTCTCAATTTAAAATGAGTTTTAAAACTACATTTTCTTTTATTTCCAAATGCAATTTGGAAATAAAAATGAAATCATTTTTCAAACTTATAGTCACATTTTGAATCATGTGTTTAATCATTATTAACACTGAATCTCTTTTGTTTTTAAATTTTTATTTTATCTTTTGCAAGTCATTAACTCATGCAAGTGAAAAAATCATAACTAGAACGCAATTAATAATGCAACTGAAAATTTGAAACATAATTTTTAAATATTCAACTAAATCAAATTCAAGAACAAATATTAGAATATTTTTCTATATATAAAACATTTCTTTGAAGTTTTGGCTTTCAACTTTTTTGTTTCACGTAATAAAACCTTTGTTTAGATTGACAAAAAGAAGCAAAACGATACAAATATTAGGCCAGATGAATATAAAAGAAAGCAATTGATTTAATAAGCGTTTTTGGAGAAATAGTTCAGCTTTATGTGAATAAAAATTAGCAAACTCGCTTAAACTTTTATTCATATAAAGCTAAGCAATCCTAGATTGCTGAGTTACGTGAATAAAAGTTTAAGCATAATTGTTCAAGTTTTTAGTCAGGTAAAGCTGACCAATTACTGAGTAAAAACAATTTTTTTTTTTTTATTTAACTGGCCTATTGACTAAAACAGAAACTACAACATTTTTAATTAACTTAATAAATTAATTAATTCGCTTTTAATTAATAAACAGTTTCTTACTAGACATATTTTAGTAGTCACATGTTTAAACTTTTGTTCTTCGGTAAGAAAAAATATAAAAAAATTTTTTTACACTGGACTACTAATTATCATAGCGGACGACTTAAATATGAAATAAAAACTGTTGTAGTTGTCCGCAAGATGACCCAGAAAAAACCGGAGGGTACATTACTATATACATATATATATAAACACAACAACCAAAATCATTTTCCCTTGACTCATCATTCACTTAAGTCACATCATTTTACTGTAATTATCTTTTTATGCTTTTAACTTTCCTTACACATCAAAGTTTTGGAACTCTCTCCAGTCTTCTCTGTTTGGTCAGCGCTTTCCCACACAAACCCATTATAAAACACAAAAACCACCAAAAAAACCTGTGTTTTTTTTAAATGCTACAAATCATTTTTGTTTATCAATTACTTTGATAAAAAAATTGATAACACTATTATTTTATTTAGAATTTAAACAAAACATTTATTTGAAATGAATATTTTGTTTAAATTCTTAAATAAACAACAAATGCTGTTTTTAAATTAATTACTTTGAGGCACAAATATTTAAATAAAATGTTTGTGCGGCTTTTTTTTTAATTATTATTATTATTTATTAATTTAAAAGTTTATTTTTTGTTTGTTTGTTTAGAATTCAAATTAAATGTTTGTATTGGTGTTCTTATTTCAACTATTTTTTAAAGTTAAATATTTTTATAAATTTAAATAGGAAATAAAAGTTTTTAAAGTTGTACACATCAGCCTAATAATAATCGTTTTGCCAGTGCTATTTTGTGAGCTGGCATTTCAAATGGAGAAGACTGTCCTTCTATCTTTAGGCTTTTATGGCTCATACAGTTAACAGTTATTTAAGTCTTCTATTAACCATTAACTTGTTAACTTTATTAACCAATAACTTGCTGTTTAACAATATTGTTTTTTTTCTGGTAACTCCTAACTTAAATAGTGGTTGCTTGCATCCTTGTTGAGAGTGAATTCATTTGAGAAAAAAAAGAAAAATTGATCTTACTAAATTGTTCATCAATTATTTTATTTGTTCTTTTGAACAAAAACTTTTCTCTAATAAATTCTAACAGATTTTTATTCAATATAATTTTTATTCAATATCATATAATTTCATGGTCATAGCCTATATGCTTTTTTCTGTGACTCATTAAAAGGAATAAAAGAATTACATCTTTTGTGCCCAGAATAAATCTTTGAGCCAATCTTTGACTCTTTTGAAAGATAAAGCTTTTTATACAAAAATCTTTCAAAAGATAACTTTTTAAGTTACTTTAAATTATGAATAAGTTAAATTAGATCTTCTGTTGCAATGGAATGATTTAACTGCTTTATTTTTTTTTTTTGTTTCTACAAAGAATTATTAAAAACTTTTTTTCATTTTAACTTGACTAACTAATCAGATAGTTAATACTTTCATTGAGTTTGATTTATAATTTAATTTAAAATTAGTTAATTTTAGGAAAAAATTAAAAGAAATAGAAAAGTATGAATTTATATAAATTTTTCACTTAAAGGGATCCCAAAGTGTTGAACAAGTTGTGTTTATAATAAAGAAAATAAATTTTTAAGTGTTTAAACAAAATAATAAACATATAACTATCAGAATATCAGAAATTCATATTTTTGATGAAAATTTTATACAAACCTTTTTTCTACATAAATCACTAATATTAATACACACTTGCATTCTTTTAACTCTCCTCTCCCCTTTGTGTATGTACCTGTTATTAAATTAATTTTTTTTAAAACATTGAAAACACTAATTTTCAACTAGATTTGTGTTTTCAAAAACACAAATCTAGTTGAAAACACAAATTTAGTTAATTTGACATTTCTTTCTTAAATAACATAATATTGATTTTTTAAACTTGTGCAATTCAATGCTTTTATAAAAAAAAAAATCAAGTTTTAGCAGAGATAGAGATAGTCAAACCGCATACCCACTTCACTGCCTTTGATCCAAAAACCTAGTTTGGTATTAAACATTTTTTAAACCATTCTTATTAATATGAACAAAATTTGTCTTGGTACTTTGGAATCCCTTTAAGAGAACAAATTATATAATTTCATACTTTATTTTTCTTTTTTTTTTTTTGTTCCTGAAATTAACTACTAATAAACAATAAAAAGTTATTAACTGTCAGTTAATCAGAGAAAATATTTGAAAAAAGTTGAAACATAATATTGAAAATTAGTTACCAGCTTTCAGTTAATCAATGAAAAACAATTAAAATTTTTAGATAAACAAGATTTACAGAATCAATTAGAATTAGATGTTCAAATTTGGGCAATTCCATGTGA